AGTGTACGGGGCCGCGAACTTCAGCGCAGCTCTTCCCTCACATATCCAGCTGGTCGTCATTGTCGATTTGAATGCCTAGGGTCATGTATATGCATGTCCAGCCTTTAGGCAAAGGTGCTTGAAGCGTTTCAAAATTGGACCGCACAGCAGCTTCAAAAATCTAGCTTGTAGCTCACCGAACTCGATGATAGAAGGATCGTTTGGAAAATCGCGGACCGCTAGTCTGTAGTGTATCGCAAGGGGTACAACCTCAGCTACTAACATTGTACACAAGCGACCGCTGCGGACGGTTAATTTACGATGGTAGTTTCGTACTGGAGTTAGACTTTGGAAAACCGAGATATGCAGGCGTTTCCAGGATTTTTCAGAGGAGGTACTGCGATCCCCCCCGCGTCCTTAAGTTAGATGGGAGATGGATTCGTTGGGTCATTATTGTTCTGAGATCGTCTTGCTCTACGATTCCACAAAGGGTGCCACAAATATCTACATAAAGCGCACCGAAAACACAAAATCATCCCAACACCTTCCTTCTACACCTTCCCAGCACAACATACAGAAAATATACACACGACGGCTACCAAACTGTCTTTGTTGAGCCTGTTCCCCACAGGGGAGATACATATCGCTGTTGTATGCCTCTGGGGAATACCGCAGGTGGCCCAATATAGTGGCAACCTGAATAGTGGAGCTGCGCAAACGGTGGAATCAAGTCTCTTGTCACAATCTCAACATGTAGATACATGAACCCGATAATATGTCGAACAGTGGCACGCCCTGAATAGTGACATATTCTCCTCCTGCCCCTACTGCCTAATCGGGCTACCTACTGCATAGAAATATGAGCAGCTTCCGCTGACGCCATAATTCATTGCTACAGCCGTATTGTGATCTATCTTTGACTATTTTCTCTAGATAGAGGTGGATTCGTTTTGTCATACTTCGAAGTACGAAGTATGAAAAAAAAAAGAGTCAGCCGCTTTTCCTCCCACTCCCGTGTCTCCCCCGCTGATTGCAAATTCTTCAGCACATCCCTTCGACTCGAGGTTGGTGATATCTCTAGCACGCCGTTTCTCTGTGTTTGTAGCTACAAATGGTATGTGAGCCACAGAGGGAGGTTTCCACGATGGGGTGCCATTAACACGGTGTGCTGTGCGGCTTGACGAACTTTGTTTTCAGCGGAGGATAGACATGGGCGCGCCGGATTCTGTTGTGTATGGCGGTTTCCCTAGGTCGAGCTACGAAGAAGTCGAAAAATGTATTGATATCCTATCGCTTCGTGCAACACACCGGCACAAGTGAGATGAACCACAAGACCCAAGAAAACACAAACCGGAAGCGTTCACTCCAAGGAAATACATGACAACATCGGTACCAAGACAAAGGAACCTACGCCGACACAGCGGAAAAAGTGTCTGCCTGCGTGGAAGACAGTCAAGACGCAGAAATTCATAATCCGGAGACGTGCCACGGGACGCGAGAAAGGGGCCGGGATGTCAGTTGCGGAAGGTCATGGTTTGTCACCATGTGATGGTCCCCAAGAGAGAGGAAACCGTTACCTTAAACGCCAAAGCGTTGACGTTTGTCACTCACACAAATCACGCACGGGGGTGGTGAACGCAGAAAGACATACGGAAAGTGTTTTTCTCTTGTCGCTGCTTGTGAGTTCAACCTCCCGCTTCTCCGCGAAGCCAACCAGTCTCAAACCCCATCCCTGGAAACCCTATGTTGCCCATGTCTCACCGGGCTGCCATTAAGATATTCCAACCCTAGAACAATCATGGGGAGCCGAACAGATGACTGCCGACTTCATTGCATGCATGGTTGACGGCGATATATAAAAGGGGATTCCTGCGAGAACATGTTCGTCAAAATCATGAACGAGAGAATGGAGTGCGAGATAGTGATAGTGCCCCGCACCTGACGGGTATGATGAGGGCATGTTATTTGTGATACAGTGTTGCACCTATATGGGGTCAAGAGTGAGTTTTGTACTACGTAAGCTTGATGCTTGTTGCTGCCGTGACTACTTTCTGGGACCGCTCGAACCTTGGGTATGATGTTCATGCAAGAAGATCATTCACGGCCCAGGGATACCACTAGAGTTGTGCACGCCCTAGGTTGAAAGCTTTCGATGTGTGTTCCAACGCAAGTGATCCCAGCTTTGCCGCCCCGCGGCATATCACAACCGTTGACCTGACGATCGTACGGATGCCGTGTGCTTTTCTTTCTGCATGATGTTACTGACTTTGCTGTGCTTCGACCGCTGACGTTTGGTCGCATTCCTCCTCCCATCGCGGACCACCCAATACCCTTTCGTCGTATCTGCGCAGCGCGTGCCGCCGCCGGTAGCCTCGGAACGGTCGCTGCTGCCGCCGTTTTGCGCGGAGGAGCAATGGGTGAGAATTGTCGGTGTATTGCGGACCTCCTATGTGTCATTCCTCAGTGCCCATGTCTGCTGAATTGTAGCTTAAACCGTCAGCGGCGCTCGTTTAGATTTCTATCGTTTCTACAGTCACTGC